GCAGATGTTTTTGCAGTATTCCTACCTCTCCCATGCCCTTCATAAGCATACCTTCATGAAGCCAGAAAGGTGGATTCTTAAATTGCCCCTGTGCCTGTATATATATATGTTGTATGTCTAATGGCATTGAATGTTTGCCGTGTATATATGCATTGTAATCCGCCCTGAGTCCCCTGCGGGGTGAGAGGGGCAGAATAGAAATACTGCAAATAAATAAATAAATAAATTTTATCAAAGTTCAACTCAGGAAACCATTTTTGACCAATTGCCACAATTCAAAAGTGTAGAACAGTGCTGCTGCCTATATAAATGCACCCTGACATTTCTGGGCAGGGTAAACATGTAGCTTAGGGTTTTGCAATGCCCAGCCATTTTGCCAGACACAAATGAAATTGCTGACCTAAAGATATTTTTTAAAATGCACCTCTTTCCTCTGTAATAGCCGAGGGGCTGCTCCAGATCAATGCAAATAGCTGCTCTCTTAACCTCATTAGCTCTGGCTTTGTTGTTGGAGCACACTAATAGCACTGAGAAACATGAACTAATAATGGGGAGAGTCATTTTAGATTCTTCTTCAGTGTTTTGTACTAGTTCTCCCATCTCAACTGGAAACCTTTAATAAGAATTTTCCTAAACGATGTGCCATGTGAAATGGGGATTTGTTCCCAGTTCTCATAATAAACAGCCATTTCATGTGAGATTTCTCCCTCTTCTTTTGGTGCATTCCGATGTCTTTGTACCTTTGCTGGTTACTGATTGCCAGTTCTGTACTATGTTCCCTTTAATTTTGCAATAAACCAACAAGGAGGCTGAGACCACAAGTTTACAGACAATGGCTTTATTTACTCAACCAGATTTGTATGGATGACAGAGTAAGATTTAGTAGTTTCAGTGTGGTCCTGGGGAGGGCGGAAGATATGCATTTGAGGAAAAATGCAGCATAAAAATAGTTTTCGTAGTCTGCTATATGGAAACAGTTTTAAGTCAGTTGATTGAATTTCTCTGTTTTAGGAATCTCAGGGGCTATAGGTTTGCACAATGTGTATTAAAATCAATGTAACTAAGCATTAGTAAGTACTTTAGATTTTGCGTTTCATGCATGCTTCCAACACACTGTCAACATATGGATTGCTGTTGTGCGCAAACCACAGGCCAGAAAGTGTGCAGTAATGTGGGTTCATGGCCAAAGTAAACTATTATATTTGTACTCCACTTACCTTTCGCTTCAGAGTAGGAAACAGTGAAATCACATGTTGAGCTTGCTTATGTTTTGAGGTCTTCTTGGGAGGCCTCTTTGCCTTAGCACTCTCATAGGAAAGGGCCTTCTCAGTAGCTTCTCCCAGGCTCTGGAACTTCCTTTCTAGAGAGCTTATCCTGGCCCATTTCCTGTTACCTTTCCATAAGCAAGTAAAGTCTTCTTGTTCAGCAGGCCTTTGAAGAGTTACTGCTCATAGAGAAAAGACCTTTGATAATGTGCTATTGATAGTTTAATTTTAACTGTTGTATGGAGTGTACTTTTATAACAACAACCACAACCCTTTATTTGTTCTCCGCCACCATTTTCCTGAAGGGACTCGAGGCAACTAACAAAACACTCAAGATGCCACACATAAAATTGAATTAATATCATCAAGACAAGACACAATTTGACTGAATACAAACAATGGACAGCATCAATCAAATTAAAAATTTTCAAAATTCTAAAATACAGTCATACCTGTGGGTCATTGGGTTTCTTGAAAAATGAGCTAAGTGCCGAATAACAATGGCCAACATCATCACAGGACCATATTACATTACTCTAGGTCAAAGGACCTTGTAAATAGCGAATTTCTCTAGGGAGGGCATTCCAAGGCCCTTTCTCTCGTCAACTGTGATGGTGGTGGGACCGAGAGAAGGGCTACCCCAGCAGATCTTAAGGCCCACATTGGTTCATAGAAAAGCGTATAGCCCAAAGCGTATAGGGCTTTATAGGTAATAACCTTCAGTTTTAATTGGGTTGTTATCTGTGTCTCTTTGTACTCTGTAAGGTGCCTTGAGTCCCAGGGTTCTGAACAAAGCAGGATGCTAAATAAAGAAATAACTGCTTTGAAAATTTAAACTTAAGACAACTTACAAAGCAGTTAAAACMCCCCCCCCCCCCCGTGTGTGTGAATACTGCATGTTGTGGTTACAGTTCTTTGTTTTTCCAGTTATCCATTTGTCATTTAGACATGCTTTCTTTGTCCTTGGAAGCTAATAGAATTAAGTCCCCCTCCCTCTGCTGAAGTGGGCTATGAATTGCAGCATTTTGGCTTTAAAAAGAAAATATCACATGCACCGCAGTTACTTTTTTTCAAAAGACATGTGACATAAACAAAGCACACAAATGGCACAGTGCAAAGTTTATATTGGAACAAATTTGAGGTGACCACATCACTCATGGGTTCATTTGACATTTGTGAATAATATACTCAGTACAAACATCTGCCAATAAAAACATTATACCAGGCTGTATGGGGAAGTGTGTACATGCTGTATATCAATCTGAAATGTATTCCTTTTTCTTGCTTTTACATCAGTTTCTCTTGGTTCTTCCTATACATCTCTGTTACACATGAAGGCTGGAACTGGTGTACTGGCATAACTGGTATATTGGGAGCAATGAAGTCTGCTTCGGTGTTGAATCTACTCCATTCTTTTAACCATTGGACCAGCTGTAATTGACAGAATTGTCATTGCTTTCACAGCATTCCTTAGAATTCTTTAAACTGGACTTTTTTCTCAATGTCTGTGTTTCTGGTGGTTTTCCAGGCTCTTTGTATGCACACGCACAAGCCTTTTTTTTAAGCGTTAACAGTGACAGGGTGGAAGTCAATCCTGTGGTGTTAGACCATGGATGTTATTTTTGGACAGCTCATCTCCTGTAGTGAGAAAAGTGCTATACTGAGATCACTGGCAACTTTTAATGGTGGTCTTTATTTCTGTGATTAGGGAGCAAATACACAAGAATGACCTCAAAGTTACCTGTAATTACATGTGTCATTAGTATGGTGTATATGTATGTGGCTTCTTGGGGCATAAAAATTGATGTATGCATTACAGCAAGTATTTGAAATAAAGTTCAGATAAATGGTTGCCCTTTTCCTTCTTTTTATTATATGTCATTCCTAATGTCAGATATTCCACGTGTTTTGGAAGAAACAGCAACTTTTGCATTGATTCTTGCTACTCTCTTGTCCACTAGGGATGAGATGTCTTAGAAAGAGGGGGTTTGGATTTGTTGTCTTCATTTCCTGATTGCTTTTCCTTCCTCTATCACAAAAGCATTTTGGGCGTATGATATCGTCTGGTTCAGGCAAGGTTAATTATGTGACTGTTGTAACAGAAAAAGAACAGGACAAGACTGAACCCTCCCATCTCCTCTTTGATGGAGAGGGACATGTTGCAACATACCTCCCTCACATCCTTTTCTATTTTAGATTAGTTTAGAAAAGATCAGGCTATTGCTCTCCAAGAATGTACTTCCTTAATAAATCTTCCTCTTGATGAGGATTCCAAACCTCTGAGTACTTTTTTCTGCTTTGGTTCTTCAAACCATCCAAGTTAGGAACTTTAGTTGTGAATGGAGTATATGCTCTTAACAGGCCTTGCATTCCAGTAACCATCTCTCACACCCTATATCAACTTTCCAAATTACCAAATACCTTATCAACTTGAAGTAGCGGGGTGGATGGCCAGGGTTATTTTGCGCATGGTCTGCATTCTTTCAGGAGCTGCAGGCTGATAACAGACTGCGCTGAATTGGATATTCTGTTTGGTCACCCCATATGACTGCATGATGACTTCCTCTAGTCTACAGCACTGTATACACATCAATAAAGAAAAAAAAAAACTTATTTGCACCTCAGTTAGAAATGCCAAGGAAATCCCAAAAGAATTAATTAGATATTGGAATCCCAGTCTTCCAACACAGTGGATACTACATAAGGCTGGACATCGCAGGCACCCGCATAATCTGTGGGCAGACAGAAATAATTGCTAGCCAGCAAAACCTTTTCATGTACTTACGTAAATGCTTCTATGAAGGATTCTAGTGCTTTTGAAATTTTCAGTACTTTGGTGTGGAATCTCTCACCCCTAACTGGTTATATTCTCATTTTCCCTTTGCTTCTTAATGAGTTCCAGTTTCTAAGTCTCCCCTAATGTCAGGCTGCCATTTTGAGGCACTGTCTGTGCTGTGGACTAGTTTTTGTTTGTTTATTTATACCCCACGTTTTCTCTGCCACAGAGGAAACTCAAAGTGACTTACATTAAAAGCATTTCAATACAATTTAAAACCCAAAAATATACAAACATTAAAATAGAATTAATCATCAATTGTATTAATTAAAAATTAACAGTTAAAATCCTTAAAACTGATTAAAAACATATTCAAAGCTAAAACCACGGCACCCTCTGAGTTAATCTTCAAAACCTTAATCTTACAAAAACCTGGTTTTTTAAAGGTTTTAGCCTGCCACCAAAAGAACAGCCGGGGGGGGGGGGAGAAGGGGGTTCTAGAGTTGAGGAGCAGCAACGGAGCTTGTGATGCAGGTGGGACCAAGAGAAGGGCCTCTCCTAAAGATCTCAGGTCCAAGCATGCATGTGCAAGGAGATGTGGAAACAGAGACAAGTTGCTGCTTTGAAGTAAATAAAGAGAAGATGGGATATGCCAGGACTGCCTCATCCCCTCCCCTACACTCCTCAAAAGATTAATAGAGGCTGTAGACCACATACCTTCTTGGGGCAAAAATGTTCCACAATGAATACTTATTTCCCTTCATAAAAGAAAGATGTGTAAAAAAATTGACAATATATTTCAAAAAACTTTAAAAAACCCCACATTTCTCAGGAAGGAGATGAAATTATTGAATATTAAGGTGTCTGGCATGGTATTGTGTCCTATTTTTGTCTGGTATGACATTGTGTCTGTCTTCTTGTAATTCTGATACGTTTTCATTCTTTGTGTCTGTTTGCAGGTTATCTTGACAAATCAGATTACTACGTGGCTGAGCGAAGGCCTTGCTGTACAGGCAGACCTGCTGTCTCCAGCTGATGACTTGCTCCTGTCCGAAGGTGAACGGTCCTTTTTATTACAGTTGAAATTTGACTCTAGCCAAAGTTCTGATGCCATTCTTGTTCAATTTAGTGGGCAGTACCAATATAGTATACAAAGTATACAATTCAGCTACAATTTAAAGTAATGTAAATTATTTACATGTTTAGTCTTTAAGATCAGTAAATTGTTAATCTAAAACCTACATTCTTGGTCCTTAGAAGGGATTTTTCAGCATATTATTTGGTTGTGTGTTTGAAAGTATTACTAAGCCTCCACTGATTTAGTGAATTACAGGACTTAACCCTCACTATTTAAGGCAAGATATTTAAAGGGTCACCTAGATCCTTCTCTTCCTCAAAAGTGATGGAGCAAAATCAATCATTGATTGTAGTTATCAGCTATTCAGAAGGGGAAAAACCAGCTTGGCTTTGATGAATAAATAAGACACATTCACTTGTGCATCTCAAACCATGCCTTGTTTTTTATTTCAACTATATTTTAACAACATGCATTTCTGAATATTACATTATGCTGTTAAAACTTGTGTATGATGTAACACAGCTTGATATTGTTAAAAATTCCATCTGATAAGATTATGGAGATGATGCAATTCGGACAGTATCTTCTATCTAACCATATGGTTCTATACTTATACTAAGTACTTTATATTTTTATGCTTAGATCATGCAAGAGATGAAGCACAATGAAATGATAAAACTTAAATTCTGAGACAATTTTCTGTGTCTGCTATGTGGTCAGACAATAAATGTTGCATCACAGATTGGGAATCACTTTATAGAGAAATAATTAAAGTTTGTCATTTTCAGTCAGTCCTGTCCATGCACATACAATGACATGGGACACACTTGTCTACATAGGCTGTGGTTACTTTATTCCCTTGTAATAATCCAGTGATGGATTCTGATGAGATGATAAGGTGGGACAGGCACTCCAATACAAGGAAGAAGTAATCTGGAGGCTAGGGCATTTTTATAACATGCTACATTGAATTCTATTGCCACAAACTGTATTACATTCTATGTGCATGATAGGCAGATGAAGATTCAATTTCAGCAGGCCTTTGTAGAATAACTTTTCAAGAGGAAGGAGACATTCACATACTGTGTTGTTTTGATTTGCTATTGTTCATCTTAATACTTATGCCTTTAATTGCATTTTATTTTATTTTTATTTGTTGTTGTTGATTTTAGTTTATTTTTTATTTTATTTTATTGTGTGTGTTTTAATCTGTATTTTCAGGTTTGTCCCTTGTAAGCCACCCCCAGTCTCTTCGGAGAGCTGGTGGCGGGGTATAAAAATAAAGTTATTATTATTATATATATACTTTCTCTTTTTTGCTTTTAAGTTTATTTTAAATGTTTTAATAGTGTTGATAGTTTTCACCTTTTATATGAATAGTTGTAATCTCCCATTACTACTACTATTTCTTCTTTGTGCATGTTTGCCCATCTGTTCAAAGAAGGCTTCATCTACAGTAGTTCTCCAGTCTGGTTTGGAGATCTGTACTAGACCCCCACAACTACATCTTTTTCAGTCCTTGCTCCCTTAATTCCTATCCAGATGCTCTCAACATGGTTAGTAGGATTGAAGTCCTGCATTTCTTCACAGGTGTAAACATCCGTTACAAATAATGCTGCTCCACCCCATCTCCTGTTTGGTCTATTTCTCTGAAATAAGTTATAATCCTTCATTACTACATTTTAATTATAGGATTCGTCCCACTAGATTTCAGTGATGCCTATTACATCATAACTGTTTTGTTGTGTTAAAGTTCCAGGTCATCTTATTTATTTCCCATGCTCTGGGCATTAGTCTAGAGACATCAAAGCCCATGGGATATTCCCCGTAGCTGTTTATTTGATATTATTGTCCTCTTGCTGCTTGGGACTTGTTCTGTTTTTCCAAAACTCTCTTCAACCCTCCAGATCTTAATTAACTACTGCTCCCAAGGATATTGTCACCCCCCCCCCCCCACAGAACTTAGTTTAAATTCCACCTGATCATATTTGGATTCTCTCAGCAAAAACATTCCTTCCAACTTCAATGAGATGTAGTCCATTTTGTGCCAGAACTCCATCTTCCTGCAAAAGCAGACCATGGTCCAGGAAGCCAAATCATTCTTCCTGACACCATATGTGGAACCAGTCATTCACCTCTACTATTTTTCTTGCTCACTTGTCTTGCAACTAGGAGGATAATTTTTTTCAACCCGCTTCCCATTTCTTGCTTCCAAGCACTGTCCTATATGTGAATTCATCTTTAAATGAATCCTGATTTCTGAACTAAAGCCACACATTTCAAGTCAGCATCCATACAATCCCCTCATTGGTTCTAACTTTCTGAGGCTGAAATGTTTCCAGATATTATCTTAGACTTAATGAAATTTTTGTGGGAGGAATAAGTGCATAACAATGACACCATAGCTTATGTGTGCGTGTGAATAAGTCAGCCCAGAAGTTTGGGTTTGTTTTTTTTTTTGCATTAATATTTAGACTAAAATTTTAAGGCTTGCATATAATGTGGTCTCTTCCAACGCTATGATTTGATAATTCTATGAGTTTATAGGGTAGCTATTTGTCATGTTTGTTAAATATTAATCCCAATATCAAAGACAGTATGTTGCTGAATATGTTTGTAGGGAACGTTGGTCCCAGGGAGTCATTATTCTTATGCACATCTCATAAATGTATTTGTTGCATTAACAGATTGCTGGATTCTGTAGGCCTTTGAGCCGATCCAGCTTGGTTACTCTTAGTTATTGGATGGGAACCCAGATAGACTTCTTGGAAGAAGAAAAGAGAATTTGTGTGTGTAAGAGAAAAAAATGCACCATAGGAAAGAAAGAAGAAAAAGAGGAAGTTAACAGAGAAAAGAATGTTGTGTGCTGATAAAAAATGGGCTAACAGAAAGTGGGTTTAATAAATCATTAAAATAGAGGGAACGAATGTTCTCCTCTTGTTGAAGTAGTGACACACCCTTCTTGCATTAATAAAAATGTCTCTTCGAGGGACTGGATTCATAATTCAGAGTGACTTGGACATCCCTGAGCTACAGTAACATTTACTAATTCTTGTGAAAGTCTCAAGCACAAAGAACTCTCAGAATTTGTTTGGTTGTAAGCAGCTCTTTAAACAAGCATTTCAAGCATAAAGTGTTCCAGCATGTTAAAAATTGAAAAACACTTGAGGGGATAACATTTTGACACATGTTGAGTTTTCTTCATTGTTACAGCTGCAGACGCTTTAAATCTATTGCAAACTTGTTTGTGCAAGTTCCTTATGATGGTCGCTATGGTTTACCTCTGTGTTTCATAGAGGCATGCTCTGAAATAGAATGATTCATAATTTGTCAAATATTCAATTTTACTGGTAAGTTTTTAGCAAATCACAAGTGATTAGGCATCCTTTGTAGCCTCAAATCTGTTAAAATTTGCTTCCTGAAATTAAATACATAGGAATGGTAATAAAATATCTGGTTTTGGTTAGCATTTTGAGTAGAATAAACTGACGGCACATCATACTAGCTAACGGCCAGGGTATTGGATTACACTTTCCTGCCGCGCTATACAGCCACCCATGTCTATCATTTGTATCCCCCTGAAATTGACTTTAATGTTAGTGATGATTTATGCTCCAGCATTAGATGTTAGTGAATGGGGGGAAAAGAAAAGAAACTCTTGTTAACAGTAACTGAAAGTCTGTGTGGTGTGGGTATTCTGGTTAGGTATACAAAATATCAAATTTCAGGCACATTTTACATGTACACATGTAGAAACAGTCCATTAGAAACAAGAGATCTGTAGAAGCAAAGAATTAAATCCAAATGTTGCTTGAGTTTGTGGAGTCATTCTGTAGACAGATTAGACTTCAAAGGGTAATAGATTGCTCCCACATAGTTCAGGCGATGCCTGGATCATTTAAACTTAGAAATAAAGACATAATTGGGTTGTAACTATTTTTAGTTGAAGCTTCAATACTGCTGATTAATGATGTGTGATTCAGTCCTTTTAAAAAGATGCCCATGATTTGAACATGCCCCACACTGTCCTGCAAGAGACTGTTTAAATCATGTTCAGATAACAGTGTTTTGAGAAACTGAAGCAAATGTAAGATTTCATTTCATTCATATCTATGCTATGACTAATAGCACTAAAGATTTGTAAGCAGTCATGAGAATGTGCCAGACAGACTTGATACACTGGAAAGTGCTCCTTAGGTTTTCCTATTTTATTTTCTGAAGGACCACAGAGTTGAAAAGGAAACTTAAGTATCCAATTAAACCTCATGAAAAAGGATTTGCTGTGTCTAATTACTACACATGAATGCCAGATACTTCCATAATTGGTACTTTATTTCTTTTTTCCTGTTTAAAATTCTAGATTATGGTTACAAAATGCTCACAGGGATTACTCCAGAGTTGTGCTCTGAAACATTAAAATATTTACCACTTCTCTCAACTTTTTCCATTTATCCTTATCCAGTATGTAAACTATTAGAGTATATGACCCTGGGTTTCAGTTGCAGTGAGACTAGATGTTGTAAAAAGTGTGTGTAATACATACCTTAAATCTGAAAGACATTGCCCAAGGATACTACAAAATAGCATTCCTTAGTTGATCCAGAGGTTTTGTTTGTTTTTTTATGAAAAAAAGATTAAAGTCTGGATTCTATTATTGCAAAAATTAACAACTGTTCATCTTTAGAAGGAATGGGGAAAATTGGCATGAATATCAGTGGTTCCCAACCTGTGGTCTGTGGACCACCAGTGGTCCTCAAGAACTAAGATATAGTCTGCGGTGTCATGGTTACTACACTGTTGAAATGAGAGTGATTGGTCTCATAAATTAAGGAAAAGCTATTTTGTTACTGGAGAAAAAATCCTCTATGAATCTCTAGGTCTTCCCGCATGATTTTGTGATCTACATCCGTTAGATGCAAAGTTTCTAGCATTGTAGGAAACTTTCATGCAGAGGATGCTAGAACATTTTAATTATACA